TCTTTCCTCCTTTCTTCCTTCCTTTCCTCCTTCCCTCCTTCTTTCTTGTGCTGTTTACTGTGGTTTCCCTAGTCTTTATAACAGTGCCTGACCCATTCTAGGTGCTCAATTAAAACATGTTAAACACATGAAGGAACCAGCTCAGGAAGTAGATACTTCACTTCGCAGATGGGAGGCTAAGCTTCAGGAAGGACTGGTAACCTGGCCAAGATTGCACAACCAATAGGAGGCTGAGAAAGAACAAGAGCCCAGGTGTGTGTGGCTCCAGAGCCCGTGCTCCCAACCAGGGTGAACAACTGATATCTACAGTGTATTGTGTTGCCAGATGATTTTGCCCAACTGCAGGCTGGCGAAAGTGCTCAGATCACGTTAGGGTAGGGTGGGTTAAGCTATGATATTTGGTAGGTCAGGTATCAAATGCATTTTGACTTACGGTTCTGAATTTACAGTGGGTTTATCAGGATTTAACCTCGTGGTACGTTGAAGAGCATCTGCATCCCCTTATTACCTTTTTGACGTCTGCGGGATCTGTAGTGACATCTCCTGTTTCATTGCTAATGCTGGCAACCTGTGTCCTCTCTGTCAGTCTTTCTCGTGGTTACCAGTTTGGTTGATTTTTCTTTTTTGAAGAACCAGCTTTTGTTTCGTGGACATTCTCTACGTCCTATGTATTATTTTATTTCCTTTGAGACTTCCTCTTTGGCCCATGGGCTAACGTTCCTTGTTTAGTTTCCAGGTGTTTAGAAATTAAAAGAGTTTGTACCGGTCTCTAAATTTTTTCCATTAAAAAAGGGTCTAATCTCACCTAACATTTCTAACATAATACAGCCACCATTGGCCAGCAGCGACAGATTGCTCGGGTGTGGGTGACTGAGCTGTGAGCTTAGGCTAAAGCTGCATCTGATTGGGGGAAATTAGGCCTTGGATTTCCTTTCTGCTCAGGGAGGCACCTTTGATCCTTGACCTCCAGAGTCTGGCCCGGGCTCCTAGCAAAGGCTGATGGCCATGTACAGTCACGTGCTTGTGGAGGCAGGGAAGTTTCCTTCTTTTAGTTATGTCTTCACTGGAGGTCATAGAGAGGGAAAGCTCTCTGGAGCAGAAGAAAGCTGATTGATTGGCTTTGAAAGTCTGGAAGGCTCCATGTAATTTAATCTGACTTCTATTTGAATATAGTCCTTAGTATTTTAACTTCTAGTGGTTCCATAAAAGTTTTGGATGGTGGGCACCCTAGTTCTTTCTCTCTCTAGTTTTGTCTCTCTCTCTTTCCCTAAGAGTGCCTTATACTGTCATCAGATTTCTTTGGTAACTTTGCCAGTAATGTAACAGTATTCTCACATGCGAGGCACCGAGAGTGCACTGAGAAGACAGGCAAAGGCATGTCTTGGCCCTAGGGGAATCATCAACTAACCCAGACAGATGCTTGCTTGCAACGTGATTCTGTTCTGATAAAATAAGATGCAATTTGAAATCTAGCCCCTAATTCAAGCTAAAAAAACAACTGTCATGGTTCTATTTATAGCTTATTTCTTGATTTCAGCAACTTTCCTATCCAAGTTAGAACCAGTCCTCCCTCACACCCAATGCGTGTGGGGATAACAAATGAGTCTGACTTACTGCCTAGTTCCATATGAGGTAAACACAATAAAAGCACGTTAAACTAACTTCTATTCAATAATATAAGCAGATGTCCAGTTTAATTTTCTTTTATTGTGGTAAAATATACATAACATAAAATTTACTATTTTAAACATTTTTAAATGTACAGCGCAGTGACATTAAGTATACTGTTATTATGTGCAACCATCACCGCTATCCATCTCTAGAACTTTTTTATTATCCCAACTGAAACTTTGTACCCATTAAACATTAACTTCCCATTTCTCTCATCCCCTAGCCCCTGGCTCAGTTTCAATTTTATTTTTATGGTAAGGGTTAAATGAACATGTGACCCTTGGAAGGCTTATAAAGCACGTGCTCCAACTCTTTCTCTCTGTTCCCTTTTTCGCAATAATCTTTCATAACAGACCCAACACTGTGTGTATTAGACAGATTTCTATCCCTATATTATAGATCAGGAAATCAAGATAGGCCCCGTAAGCTAATGTCTACCTTTCACTGCACAATTCTTGCTTAGCTTTTCCTTCTTGCCTAGGCAAATTACCTGCCCGCCAAGAATCAGGTAACATTTCATGGCCTCTTTTGCTGGCTCTCGCCCTCCCCTGGAATTTCTGAGATTCCAGCCCCCTGCAGGTGACTAGTAGATGATTACACCTATGGTTCTGCTGCGGTCAATTTGTGCTCCAGTGGCATCAACAAGGAACCTGCTGAGGGTGTTTAACTACGAGGGAGTGAGGTCTCTGGCTGTGAAGTGTTCTTAGCCTAAGTTCCAGGCTTCACGCCACCTCTCCGCAGCTGTCTGACTTTGAGCAGACTGCTCAGTCCCTTGAAATCTCAGCTTCTTCACTGTAAAAGAGCAATGCGGGTAATAGCAGACTTGGCATTGCCACTGAGATGTCTGATAGGCACCTCAAACTCAACAGAATGAACTGGAAATCTTGATTTTTTTTTTTCCCTCTTGAACTGGTTTCTTCTGCAGTCTTCTTTGATTGACTAATGCGTCATCATCTGACAGACAACATGACAGAAACCTAAAGGAGTCCTTCATTCCTTCTGTCCCTTTTCATCAGGAAGTCCTATTGACTAGTTCAGAGTCACGCTTTGTTATGTACATCCCACTTCTCTCCAATTTTACAGCCGCCATCCTGGCTCAGGATCCAGCTGGTCTACCTGCTTTCATTCTTGGTCCTTCTCCAATGCATCCTTAATAATACAAATAAAGATAAGAATAAAAATGCTTTCATAGTGCTTTCTCTGCCAGCCACTGTTCTAAGTACATCATATATATTAATTTATTTAATCCATGTACCAGTTAAAGGCAAATCCCCCACTTAAAACTAATCCATGGCTTCTCTTTGTTTTAAGAATAAAATGTGAGCTTACTATCTTCCTAGGCAAGATTCTGAATTATCTGACTTCTCCCTGTGGTCTCCTAGCCCGCTGTATCCCCTCGCTCTCCAGAGGCTGACAACACTGCCTTCCTTTTTATTCCTCAAGCATGGTCTCGAATCTTTGCCATTTCTGTTCTTCTATTTTGTCTCCCAACTCTTTGCATGGGAGCTAAATATTTAAAACAAATGATCTCATGGAGATGGAGGAGAATGATGGTTTATCAGAAGCAGGGATGGGTAGCGGGGAGAGGGGGATACAGTAGGGATGACTAGTGGCTGCAAAAATATAGTTAGATAGTTAGAAAGAACAATATTTGATAGCACAACAAAGTGGCTATAATCAACGATAAGTTAGGACATACTTCAAAAATAACTAAAAGAGTAGAACTGGAAAGTTCCTAACACAAAGAAATTATAAATACCTGAGGAGATGGATACCCTAATTTCCCTGATTTTATTAATTCACATTTTTTAACTGTAAATCATTTCTGCTCATGGAGAGGTTAGAAGGGGCTTTTACTATTTCTCCTCTTTTCAAACAGACTTTGGGTGTGAGAAAGACTTTTCTGTCCTAACAACCCCAACCTTGCTGGGGATGGAAGTCTAAACTTGCTCTGACACATTATAAAAGGACTCTTATGAGCAGGGGACTAAAATCAATCTTGTAATATACTAATTATGCCTAGTGTTATTTTAAACAGATATTTTTAAAATTAAAAAATGTATAAAAACATTTTTTCTGATCTCTGATTCTTGATTCTGAAACTTCTGCCTGCCATATGTCTGAAACACATCATCAGCCCCATGAATAAGAAACATATTCCAATGAAATGAGCCAAAGAAACAAGGTTAAAACTAGATAAAGCCACATGTAGGATTTTCTAAATCATTCTTGTCATCCTGAGGATTCTGGATCCTAGGACAGTAACACATGTTTCCTTTATCCTGACACCCCAAAGTATGTCTCCTTTCTTGGGCATAAGAATATCTAGAGTTCCATGTAGGTGACCACACTGTGCAGTGAGGAGTGGGCCCTGCTGTCATGCTCACAATGACCAAATTGCGTTGATCCTGTTTTAATCCAACACATTGCTCCAATATTAACTTGTAAATGAATATATTTGCTTTCTGGACACATTCCAGGAAGGCCAGAGAAACTGGCTTCTTATCCATATGGAATAATCCAGTGGTGAATTTCTTTTAGGATAGATCAAAATTGATCTAGAATATAATCTTAATATACGTGGATCCTTCAGACCAGACCAAAAAGGAATCTGGGCTGCAAGATTTCATGAAGAAAAATGTGGGAAATGCAACATTGACGGTTGGTGGATCTGCTCTACATTATCTGAGACTGGAGCCCAGAGTTGGCCATGGTCAACTTAAGTGGAGATGAAGCAAGGACCTCCTCCTGGGGTGCATGTGCTTAGTATAGATATGCGTGGTTCTAAGTGTTAGGGTGGGAACTTGTAGTGTGGGACGGAGAAGAATTCTTGACACAAAGATTAGGACAGGTTTGAAGCAAAAAGTTCATTTTACTTTTCAAGGGAGGAAACAGCACGGCTCAAAAGAGAGAAGTGCTGGCCCTGAGGGTAAGGGGTTTGGGGTTTTTATTGGGATAAAGGGAAAAGAAAAAAATATTTTGAGCTGATAACAGGGGGCAGCTGTGAAATGGCTGTGTTTTCTTTCTTTTTTTTTCTTTCTGGCTTTATCAGGGTCCTTAGAATGTGGTCTGGTGGGAACTGGGTGAGAGTCATGCTTCTTCTATCTGCTCAGTTCTTTTCAAGTGCTGTAAAACAAATTCTTAAAGACAGCAAGTTAAGCCAACGGTGGTTAATCAAACAAAGGGGCACTTGTGTGCTGTGACCTTTCTTTTTTCTGTTAATTTATTATTCTCTGTTAGAAGAGTTTATTTTTATCTGTTAGATAGTTTATTAGCAATGCTGCCCTTTCATTCCCTCCTTTCTTTCGTTAAAATTGATATTCTTATCAATGGAGGAGGAGGAGGAGGAGGAGGTAGAGAGGAAAGAGGAGGAGGATGACGACCTCCTGGAGACCCAAGGCAGGATGACAGGAAAAGGGCCCCTCCTAGCCACAGGGAAGCACCATCACCATCAAGGTCCCTGGAGACCCAGGGAGATCTCACTTCCTGGAAGTGACATCCTGGACCTTCCCTGGAGGGACATCTCCACTCCCACCACTCCAAAAACACCTGGAGTGAGGAGGCCCAGGTGTCTCTGATGACCTCCTTCTCTGAAGGCCATGCAGTCACCGGCTCACACAGCCCTGTTGGAGGTGTCCTGCCTCCTGGGCTGCCTGACCCAGGTGCAGTAGTGCTCTCTCACCCAGGCCGCTCCTGGCTACTAGAGAAGTGGGCCACGGGACTGCTGCAGGGAGGCCATCGGTCCAGCTCTCCAGGCCTGCTCCAGGCGCTGATGTCGGGGAAGGAGATGCAGGGTGAAGAGACTGCACAGGTGACACCCAGGAGCTCTTCTCCACCCAGAGCTGCCAGGAATAGGCCCTGCAAAAGAAAAATGTCCCTATCACTGCTGTTACCACTGTTGTGGGACAGAGGCGAGCTGCCCCCACCTCCGAAGCTTCCCTGTATAGCTGCTGAGGAAGATCGAGGCACCTCGGAGGAGCGCATTGCATGTCAAAGAAAGACCAAGATCTTGCAGGAGAAAACAGAGGCTCTGGGGGAGAAGACAGAGGCCCTGGGAAGCTGCAGCGCCACCCAGCCTGCCCCCTCTCCCCATCTGCTGCTGAGATGGCAGAATCCCAGCCCTTGGCCGCATCCTACACTTTCCAGGGCCCCGTTCTTCTTCCCTCCCCTGACTTGGCCGACCTGGCTGCTGGACCTCTGATCCTGCGTGTCCCTCCACCTTCCTCCACAACGTTCACAGTCCCTAGCTCTCCTCTGCCTGTTCCTGAGAACTTTTTCCTCCCTTTAGGGCCAGTTTCACTGTGGGGCTTCCATCTAAGGAGAACGGGGGCCTTGCTCACCCAGTCCCAGCTACAGGCCTCCCACTTCCAACCTGCCCCAAACTCCTAGCCCCCTACCATTCTCAGTGATGCCACCCTTGTGCAGAACTGAGTCCCCGCACCCATGTGTGTGGATTCCTCTCCTCCTCTTTTCTTCCCCATCCCTCCTCCCCTTTCCTTCCCCATGCTTCCTTCTCCTTCATTCCCCATCCTTCCTCCCCCTACCTTCCTCCTTTTTCCCTCCTTATCCCTCTTCCTTCTTTCATCCCCAGTCATTCTCCTCCATCTCTCCTCCTCCCTCCTTCCCCATCCTTCCTCTTCCTTCATTCCCCATCCTTCCTCTTCCTCCCTTCCCTGATCATCCTTCTCCTCCTCCTTCAACCATCCTCCTGCTCCCATTCCTATCCCTTCTCCTCCCTCCTTCCCCATCCCCCTCCTACTTCCATCCCCTCCCCTCCTCCTCTTTCCCTCCCCATCCCTCCTTCTTCATTCCCTACCCTTTCTACTCTTTCCTTCCCCTGTTGTCCTCTAGTCCCTTCTACCAGAAATCCCGTTTTTATCATGGGCACGTTTACCCCTTTGGCAGCAGCCATGTCTACCACCAGGGCCAATACATCTGCCCACTTGACCCAGCAGCCTACTTTGGACCCTGAGGATGGAAAGGGACACCACTCCCCATCTATGGCTGCTATTTTCAGCTTTCCTGCAAGTTCTAGCGTGAGCTCTCCTCCACGTTCCCAAATCCCTGCGCTGCAGAACAGAGGCGCCCTGCAGAGACCAGAGTCCCCATCAGTCCATCTGCACTTACGGTCCGCTGCCCCACCTCAAATTGTAACCATAACCATCTCATTGGCCTAGAAACCGCCCATTGGCCCACATTTGGGTGCCCTGATGGGCAGTAGCAGGGAGCCTCTTTTTGCAGGGTGTCCTGGTGGCATTTATGAGCCTCTCCATCACGGTTCCTCCAGTTTCCTCCACTCTGGTTGGCAGGGCCCCTGCAATAGCATTACCTGCGCCTGCCTTTGACACCAGTGCTGTGGATACCACCCCTCTTTCCAAGGCTGTCATCTTTCGGTGTCCTGTCTCCAGGAAGAATGATATCCCTTTTTACACGGGGCTTCCTGGAAACACACTGCCCAGTGGCAGCATTGCCTCAGTGCAAGTCTCCAATGGCATGGGCATGCCTGGACAGTGGGTCAGTGGACCAACTGCAACCTCCAAGCATTGTCTTAATCCAGGAGCCATCCCTCAGCCCCCTGATGGACAGCAATGGTCTCACCAATCTTTCATGTGGGGAAGGAAGCAACGAAAGAACAAGCTATAGGCCTGGCCTCTCCTGCAGTCCATCCACCCAGTGCCAACCTGATGCCATCGGTTTTGCTGATTGGCCTATCAACACCCAGCCAACACTCCAGGTGCTTTTCCCCTTCTCACAGACAAGACATCTGGCTTGGAGTTGCCACCAGGATGCCTGGCACTGGGGACAGTACTGCATTGTTGGCCAGCACCAGTCCAGGCCAACTGGTGTTGATGAGACCTGCAGCCCCTGTGAGTGGTGGGAGCTTTGGACTCCATGTGTCCGCCCCAGGCCCCTGCTATGTGCAGGTTCTCCCTTCCCCTAACCCACTTTCCTCAGTGGGCCCTTTTCTTTCCCACACAGTGTGTATAAAACCCTTCTTCTGTTAATCTGCCTCTGCTCCTGTGTCTTTGCCCTTTGAGTCAACTGTGGAGGAAGAATTGGCATGTATGAGGGGTGATGTGTTGAGCCAGACTTTACACAAACTGTCCTGATTCCCGGGGAATAGCATGTGGAAGTAGCTACTCTGCATCACCCTCACCTCTTCCCTCTGTTCTTCTCTCCAACCATCCTGACCTCATTGGAGGCCAGATCCTCCTTGATGTGTGTGAGGAAACGCACTTTCTGATTTTACTCTTTAAAAATGCATAAATGCCTTTTTGTTGTGTGTCTGTGTTTAGGTGAGACTTAGGCCAGTCGTGCTCACACATTCCCACTTCACCCAGAGTGCTGGGCTTGGCATCCAGCTTCTTGCTTCTAGAGGAGCAAAGCAAGGAAGAGCTTGTGTCTGTTCTATAATTATTGAAAATTTAATCTTACTTAGCATTTCTCATGTTGCTTAAAAATATCAGAAAAGATTCTCTTTGATATTTGGCCTGGCTCTGGTGTAAACACTGGGACATCAAATCACAGCAGTTACCATCACACCTAGCTCTGGCTGACCCTTGAGTCCTACTATGTCTCCACTAGACTTCATTGCTGAAAATTCCATCTTTCCTAAGGCATTTCACAACCCAGGGAAACCATCTGGAGATGGAGACAAGAGGAAAGTACAGCGTTTCCCTCAGCTTCTCACTCATTTCATTAAACATTTATTCAATGATGACTCTGCACTAGACTCCCTGTTAGGCCCTAGAGATATAGAATTGAGAGACATCTCTTGCCCCAGAAAAATTTACAATGCAGTGGGAAAGACAGACGATTGGACCAAAAGTTCAACTGAACGGGTAAGCACTCAGATATAGGCAGTGGGTAAGAAGAACGTAGACTACTCCCAGGGGAAATGAACCATGAACTGCACCTTTGGGGGAGAAGGGAACAGTCAAGTGTGGAAGGACTCTTTCCAGGTCAAAGCAATAGCATTTTAACAGTGAGGGGAGGGAGACGACCAGGTAGTGGGACAGCTGACAGGTGTCCTGGTGTGGCTGCAGAGCAGAGCCAAAGCTGGGAGATGCACCTGTAGGGTTCAACAAGGGAGGGCAGAATATGGACAAACTTAAGTACTACGATGAGGTTGTCCATTTTCCTGAAAGTGTGGGAAATCAGGAAAGTGTTGCGAGCAAAAAGATGACAAAATTTTATGTAGATTTTAGAAACATTCTTGTGACTGTGTGAGAAGGAAGAATTAAGTGGTGAGAGAGCAGAGTCAAGGAGGTTTAGTGACACTGTAGTGACCCAAGCAAAGGTGAAACAATGAGCCCCTGGTCTAAAGGAGTGGACATTGGGGATGGTGAGGAGGTAAGAGGGAAGAGAAGTGGGTGACCCCAAGCAAGGAACCCAGCTCTATTCTAGCCATCTGGCTCAGATAGAGGAACATGAGCGATTTTGGTAAAAATACAAGTTCTACTTTTAACAGCATGAGATGCGTGTGGAAGATGCAGGTACTACTTGGAAGGCAGTTCATTCACTCATTTATCTATTTAACACATTTCTTGAGCAACTGGAATGTGCTGTGCACTCTTATAGGTAGTGGCATCAATTAGAAGAAAGGCAAAATTCCTCACTTTGTGGACTCTACATTCTAATTCTCCAACTAGAGAAAAGAAACAAAGGTGATTGGGCAAGTGGAGCTGCAAACCCATCTCCAGTATCACACATCTGTGGAAACTTCCAGTCAGGCTTAAGGCCCAGTTACAGTACGTATTTCTGAGGATCAGTAGTGCTCTCCGTGTGTTGGCTGACAAAGGCACAATTGCTGCACTTATTAGACTCCATTTGTCAGCTCCTTTATTGCACAGTTGTCCATGGGATTTATTAGGTATCTAATATATTTGCAGTATTTAGGTACAATTTCAGGAGCTGCTCCTGCCTGAAATCTCTCATTTAGGAGTTGACATTTTCTAGTGGAGACTAAAAATAATTCAACTGAGGCTGGTGATCAGGCACCTGCTTTTCCACTCTGCTTCATTCGAATCTCCATGCCCCTTGGGGCTCACATCTGTGGCACCAGATGTTTTCTATCTTCACTATGCACAGGAACCAGGGCTGCAAATGTAACCGGCAGGTCCATCAGCTTTTTCATTTCTTTCCCACCTGATTGTTTAAGAGGGACTTGGTAGAGACTGTGTGTTTCGATGTTTCGCAAAGCTCAGTGGTGCTCAGACAGCATTGGAATTCTACCCCGGAGAAACTGATGTGCTATTAATTGATTCCTTTTCTTATAGGACTGTGAAGAGGTTCATCTATCACACAGTTACTCCAGGTTTCTCTGAGTGCACTGCCAAGAATCTGTGTTAGACTGGCAATTCCCCACCTTTCCTGTTGGAGGGTAGTTTGCATTCCACAAAATGAAGTCCACACTATATGAGAAATTTGGTCTAATCTCTCATCTATTGATGAAGTCATAAAGTTTGACTCTCTGATACTGTAGTGGAAGAAAGGAATTGGTGCCCAAACCCTGGGTCATATGTTTATACATCTCCTAGTTCCTCCTCTGTCCTTTAACTCTGTTTAGATTGCCTTTGGCCATAGAGAATTCTTCAATTTGTGTCACATCAAATCCTCTATCTTTTCCTTTATGCTATTTCAGTTTCGTGGTCTGCTTAGGGAAAGACTTCCTCATACCAAGAATATGATTTCTCATGCTAGTCTACATTATTCTAAGTATTTTATCTTACATTGGAATACTGCCAAATATATGTCATACAGGCAGTCCTTGCTATGTAAAGTTCACATGTGCATGAATTTTAGTTACCATTAGTTAAATAACCCAGTACTCCAAGAACATAATTCAAATTTTATTTACCACCATATATTAACTGTGAGAAATTGCACACAGTAGAAATTTCACAAATCGCTGTACAGTCCACACATCACTTTGTAAATACCAGATGTGCATCACAACAGTGACCAATCAAGTCACTTCTTTTACAGTCAGTTGGTGATTGGTCACACAATTCACACACACACACACACACACACACACACACACACACGTCGTTGTGCTGCCTCCTTGTTCCCCAGTGATAAGTCTACCTGACATGTCACAAAGCTGCATAATTGACAGAGAGAGAGGCAACAAAGCAAAAGTGCAGCAAAGAAACACATAGTGACTACACTGGAAGTGAAATTCCGTAGAATGTAGAAGAGTTGTAGGAGAAAGAGCTGAAGTGGGAACACTGACTCTGTAGACATTACAGAGATTAAATATGTAGCCCAAGGATCCCAGTAAAGGCAGAATCAACATAAATGAGGAAAGCAGTTGTGACAAAAGGATGAAGATGTCCCACAGTAAGTGACAACACAAAACTTCACAGGACTCTCAGATATAGTTCATGGCAATGAAAGCACAAAATAAAACATAAAGTGTTGGAAGTTGAAGGATAAACTTTAGAATGAACTAAGACAATTTGCCAAGGTGGAACAAAGATTCTTGCTTCTTGTAAGGAATATCATAACAGTAGGGCAAACTCTATGGAAACTACTCTCGATGAGTGGTTCTATTTCCCTGCCTTTAAAATAGACTCTAATATTTTTTAGAGCAGTTTTAGGTTTACAGGAAAATTGAATGGAAGATACAAAGATTTCCCATATGCCACTGCCCACGCAAATGCACAGCCGCTCCCGTTATTAACATCTCCACCAGAGTGGGACATATTTCACAATTGATGAACCTATACTGAATCATCACTGTCACTGAAAGCCCATAGTTGACATTAGGATTCACTCTTGGTGTACAGTCTATGTGTTTTGACAAATGTACAATGACAGGAATCCACCATTACCTCATACGGAATAGTTTCACTGCCTTAAAAATCCTCTGTGATTTGCCAATTCAGCCCTCCCTTGCCCCTAACTCCTGGCATCCACTGATCTTTTTACTGTCTCCGTAGTTTTGCCTTTTCCAGAATGTCATATGGTTGGAATCATACAGTATGTAGCCTTTTCAGACCGGCTTCTTTCATTTAGTCATATGTATAAGGCTCCTCTATGTCTTTTCATGGCTTGATAGCTCATTTCTTCTTAGTGCTAAATAATATTCCATTGTATGGATGTACCACAGTTTATTTATCCATTCATCTACTGAAGGACACCTTGGTTGCCTCCAATTTTTCCAATTGTGAATAAAAATGCTATAAACATCTTTGAGCAGGTTTGTATGGACATAGTTTTCAACTCTTTTGGGTAAATACCAAGGAGCACGACTCCTGGATTATACAATAAGACTTACTCTATTTAATTTTTTTTTTTCCACTTGGAACATATATGCACAAGTAATCAGAATAATCAATTTTTTGCCTGGGGAATTCATCAGCCATAGCCAACAATCATCAATCCATGGCCAATCCTATCCCATCCACACACCAATTCATCCCCTGTGCTTGAATTATTTTGGGGCAAATCTCAGACATTATATCATTTCTTCCATTAATAGTCTTAAAAGATAAGGACTTTTCACTCTGCCATAACCACAAATCATTAACATACCTGAAGTGAATTCAGAAAATATCAATCCTTGATATCATCCATAAGGCAGTGTTCAAATTCCAGTTATCTCATGCTTATTATACATACTTTTATAGTTTTATATTTGATCAATTCCAATAAGGTGCACACTCTGTCATTGTTTGACATATCTTACAAATATTTATAGCTTTCCCCTTTTATCTTTTTTTCTTTGAAGTTTTCTTTTTGAGAAACTGGATGGTTTGTTTCCTTGAGTTTCCTGCTGTATCCCCGTTGCTGTTTGTTTCTCCGTTGTGCAGTTGTACACGTTCTCCCAGCCTTTGCACTTCCTATGAGTCATAGAGTCTTGATCAGATTCAAATTCTATTCTTTTGACAAGAGGACATCATTGGTGGTGTCCTATTCTCAAATCCGGGTCTTCTAGAATAGCTCTGTCCAACAGAACTTCATGCGAGGATGGAAATAGTCTATACTTGTTTTGTAGAATAATAGCAGCATCTAACTCCATGTGGCTATTAAGCACTTGAAATGTGGCTAGTGCAACCAAGGAATTAATTTTTAAATTGTTCGTAATTTTAATTAAATATAATTTAAAATTTAAAAAGCTACATGTGGCTAGAGGCTACCACATTAAACACCACAGCTCTAGTTTCTGAAGCCATCATTGTTGAGCAAAGTTGGCCCATGGGGCTGTAGTTAAGGCTGCATTGGACCATTATTAAAAAACAACCAGGCCAGCAACTGCCCTGTCTACATCATGCAGTCAGCGTAGTTGCCTCCTTTAGTGCCTGGAAGGGCCAGAGCCGGGCTCCAGCTCCAACCCCTTCCCTTGGAACTGATGAGAACTCAGCCCTGTGTGAGTCTCTTACAGGCTGGGACCTGGGCACTGGCTTCCTCTTCCTCTTCATCTGTGGAGGTTCCCAACAGCCCTAGCCCTCAGGAAAATGGACACCAATCATACAAATGCTTATGGCTGTCTTTTGAGTCCTCTGAAGAACCTTTTGACTATATTTGGTTTTAGTTTTTCAAATGAATATCGACTGCCTTGAAAAGGATCTTTACTATGGGTAATATAAAGAAAGGCAGGATCTAAATGGAGACGTCATCCAAGGAAAACCAGTGTTTCCAATAGGATGTGGCTGCTTCTGGGCTGACACGAGCCTTTCTTTCAGGTGACTATGATTCTGTGAAACACACTCATACCCGACTCTTCTTTCCGTCAAGGCACACAGAAGGCTGAGTTTCCTGTCCCTCTCTGTGGCGGGGTGGAGCCATCTGCCCAGTTCTGGCCCATCCACTGTGAGAGGGGGCGGCAAGTGTTCCAAGCGTCCCTTTTTCTGTCAGATAAGAAGTCTCCCTCGGGTTGGGTTCTTGATGGAAGATGCTAAAGTAGAAGACACGTTCCAGACGAAGGACATGTCACGTGAGGGAGACATAAACCTTTGTTTTTATTTTTCAGCTACTGACATTTTAGGAGTATTTGTTACCACAGTGAAATGCAACCTGTTCTAATTAATGCACCTCCTTTAAACCTAGCAAGAGGACAGCTCAATGTAGCACGAAGAGATGGCATATACAGATTACAGTCCATGTAGCACAAAAAAGAGAAGAAACTTATTGAAGCCGACAACTGGCTTTCTTGAGGATTGAGTCTTCACAGTCGGATCTGCTCCTCTCTCCCCAGGACTCCACTGTACCTCCAGAATCTTCGTCATGGGCGTTCATTGCACAAAATAAGGATTCACGGCAGTGGCAATGTAAAGCGGTAAGACACACCTTCAGTTTGACTACAAAGTGAGTGTTATATCTACATATATTTATTTTTGTGATTAATTAATACTTCTTGCTTGCTAAACTAGACTGTAAAATCCATGACAGTAAGGACCACATCAATTTATCACCGTATTCCTAAATAACTGTTAATGAATGAATAAATATATATAGACATGTATCAGTGAGGATTCCTTGAGTGTTTCAAGGGGTGTGGAGCGGCTCTCTATGTACAAAAGCACAGTATGAGGTGGGGTGGTGGGTGAGGAAGGCTTGTGGTGTGGGTCACCAGCCACAGACAGTGGATTTCCTGACTCAGAGCTCAGAAGAGAGAAACCTCCGTGCCTGAAATCTATGAACAGGAGAAATGTTTGCAAGTATACCACTGTAAAGCCAAATGTGAAAGTACATCTCAGCAACATAAAAAACAATATATATGCATTATAGAAACGCTCCTTGACTTAACAATGGGGTTATGTAGTGATAAACCCATCGTAAGTTGAAAATATCCTGAGTAGACAATGCATTCAATATATCTCACCTACCAAGCATCGTAGCTTCACCCAGCTGCCTTAAACATGCTTGGAACACGTACATTAGCCTGCACTTGTGCGGAATCATCCGGCAACACCTCTCACTGTGGAGTATCGGTTGTTCACCCTCCTGATCAGGGGGCTGGCTGGGAGCTGCAGCTGCTGCCACTGCCCACCATTGTGATGGTGTTGTACTGAACGTCAATAGCCCAGCAGAAGATAGAAATTCAAAATCTGAGGTATGGTTTTTACTAAATGCATATTGCTTTCACACCATTGTAAAGTTAAAACATTGTAAGTTGAGCCAGCGTAAGTTGGGAGCAGTCTGTCTCTCAGCCATGGCTCAAGGCTCAGTGCCAGCTGGAAGCAGTCGTGGCCTGTGCGCAGTACGTGTGCATGTGCCTTCCTTTCCGAAGGTGTCGGTGCTAATGTAGCCAGTTGTCCCAATATGTAGCAATGAGAAGTGGTCACTTTTAAAACATTTTAAGTGGCTTCTAAAGCAAGTAGTGATAGTTATTCATCATGAAACATTCAAGCATATTTATATATAAATGGAGAGAATCGCACTTCCGCTCTAATAATGCTCTTAGTTTTTATTCAGTTTGAAAGTCTGATGCTGCGATTGGTTTGTAGCACAGCTGTCTTTGGGTCATGAGTAGGCTCACCCTTTAACATCGTCTGAGGCTTTTTGAAGCCATATTATATACATGATTGACATGTAAGTAATAGGTAAATATTGATGATACTGTAAATAATTTTAATTTCAGAATATTTCTCAAATGGTGGAATTTGGGTAAGTGTTTGTATAATTCTTACTATATCTTTAGGGACAGAAAAGATATATAGGAATTAAAAAAAGATATATAGGAATTGGTCTCTACTCGCATGGGAATACAATTAAGGAAACAAGTCTAACAGGATGATTTTCTACCATTTCATATGATTCAATATTATACACCACATTATATGATAAAGAAATATAAATGCTGCAGAAATGTATGGAGGGGAGAGATGGGTTAGCTGAATTAATCTGAGAAGGCTTCCTGTGGGCCTTACAGCTCGAGTTGAATATAGCACCCAGAGGATGGGGAAGGGAAATTAGACAGGAGATTGGGCATAGAAATGTGGGGAAAAGTACACATAGTGCGTGTCCCATTAAGACTAGAGGCTGCGAGTCCTGCAAAATATGGTAAAGGGGGTATGATGAGACAAGCTTACAGAGAACCTAGACAATTTCTGTCATGGAACTTTGAAATGATTCCAAAAACTTACATAGTTTGCTACATGAGCGGCATATGTTTTGCTGTGATGAGAACTTGGAGTCCCCCCTCCCCTTGGGAATGTGATGTGATACCTTATCAGATCTCATATGTGAGTTATTGACCTCAACTACTGGACTCCAAAATACACATAAACCTAAGAGTTTGACAAACACTTTGAGAGCTTAGGCTGTGGCAGGGCTGCACCGTCAGCTGCTTCTCCAAACAGCAAGAGCTCAAGCTGGGGCAGGGCCGCATCCTGTCAGCCTTGGCGCTGATCTCCGGAGCCTCGCCAGCCAACACCAGCACCACCCTCCAGCGCCGAGGGGCCTCGCGTGTGCTCACGGATCTTCATGGTGTTGATCAAGCCTGCTCTTCCAAGAACCTCTTATATAAAGCAAAACCTCAAACTTTAATTAGACTTCATATTCCATGGAGGCCTGCTTCCATTCTAATTGAGCAACTAGACTTTAATAATTGGACTCTAATGAAATTGGAACTCACTATGTGGTTAATGTAACACATTAATAGTACACAATAATGCCATACGCTGTATATTTCTACACTATATATTTATATGCCATACATTATATATTTATACCGTACAGGATATAATGTACACTGTGTACAAAGTAATGATATGCAATAATGTCTATCTAGTGCAGTCCTTCCTCTTCTTTAAGCATTATGAACAAAAGAAAAAAGTTCTCTTTGTGTGGTAAACAACCCATGTGATTTGTGAAATCAGTCTTTGATCATCTCTTTTTGAACTATGCAGAACAATCACCCAGGGAGACTTGTTGGAGGCAGTGGAAAGCTGTGAGAGTCAGTGTATCAGCTGAGAAGATTTGAGCTCCAAGTACTAGAAAATTCAACTCAACTGGCTTTAATAAAGAGAAAACACATATCATGTCTTCACACAGAAGTCCAAATGTAGGGCCTGGGTGGGCTCTTTCTCTGCTGGTTGGCTTGTTCTGAGGCTGGCTCTCCTTATTGTCACAGGATGGCCGCTACAGTGCCAGAAATACAATCCAAATACAACATCCAAATACAACAATGTCCAGATGATAAAGATAGGGCATCCAACCCTGGGTAGCTTTTTAAAACAATCTGTAAGCAAAAAAGCAAACCTTTCCCAAAATTCCCCAATTCACTTTTTTCCCTATCCATTGCCGGAATTGCATGACATGCGTGCACCTAAAGCAATCACTAGCAAGAGGAATGGAACCCCGTAAGACTGGAGCTGGAACCACCTCCCTTGAAATCCAGGATTAGATGGAAGAAAATGGATCTGTGAGTAAGTTTGTATTCTCTTAGGAGAGAAGAAGGGGCATTGGCTGTTGGGAAGGCAGACCAGGTTTTATGTGGCTTGATGCTTATACATTTTGAGCTTCCCCTTTAAGAAAAGGCATATAAAGTAATAAATACAAAATTGGAAATAAAAAATATTTTCATTGAATGAGAAAGGAAACTAGAACCCATCATAAAATTTAAAAAGCTTTCAAATACCATAAATAAAGCAAATCTAAAAAAAAATAAGGTTTTAAGTAATTGCCTGATGTATCTCTATGAAACTTTTTCCTACATTTTTTTGGGGAGGAGCTATATACTCTTTGAAAGTCTCTTCAAATGAGAGTGATTTTGTATATCATTTTATATAATGATGATAGAAAGATAATTCAGTTTTTCTTTGACATGGTGGGTCAAAACATTTTTTTAATTGATAGTTTTAAAAAATTTCTTTCGGCCTGATGACTTGCCATTGGTAATGTCATGTAAAGATTTAGGGTTGTTGCTGAAGTTGAACAAACCCCCACCCATCTTCTTTCATTTCTGGGTTGTAAGATTTCGGAGGACTTTGAGCTGTCTTGTGTGTTGACTAATCTCAAATCCTCTTCATTTGCGACACTCATAAAACAGTTTATTGTCAATGGCCTCATTACAATGTGTATCATGAGTTTTGTGCTAAATTTGTTGATGTCAGTGTTTTGTGCCGTATCAGCAAGAAATTAAAACTGTTTCCAATGTATCCATATGATACAAATTACTAATCAAATTATAAAATGATCTAAGAGCCTATTCATTACCTTTATTCAAAGTTTATCTTTTCTTCTTAATGCTTTTTTCTTCCAAATTGCTGTTTTTTGTTTTATTTATTATTATGTAGACTTGATTTAAATGTAGGAATACATTTGAGTTTTTAGTTTGGTTTTATTTTTAGGAGATCTAGTTTAATTTTATTTGTGTTTAATTGACACATAATAATTGCATGTATTTATGGGGTACATAGTGGTATTTTGATACATGCAATGCATAGTGATCAGGTCAGGCTAATTAGTATGCCCATCATCTCAAACATTCATCATTTCTTTGCGTTATGCTTTTTTTTCTTTTCCCCCAAAATGTTTTGGTATAATCCCAACAATTTCTAAACCTCACTATTTGCTTTCAACCAATGTGGGCACCTTTAGGTGAACCACATACACATGTTCCGCTAAACCCAAACTAAAAGTATCCTCAACTCAACTTCCTGTTATCAGTAGATCATAAAATACCCACAGACACTCCAACATCATTCAATATGAGAGAAATGGGTGAAAAATGACAGGGGTCAAAACCATGGTGGTTAAAATACCGTACAAAAATATGTCATCTTGTAAGGGTGCCTCTCCTTTGGCCTTGGAAAGGAGTCCAGGTAAGTGCCTGGCCTCGGAGTCAAACTACGGGAGCTTGGTCAGCATCTCCCTAGACTCCTGGGTGACAACCACCAGGGGCTGCCATCAGACGTCAGGGAAGTTGGGAGTCCTCAGGAGCAGTGAAGTGAGGAGAGTCTGGAATGAGGGATGGCAGGAACAAGCTATATCTGTGTTCCAGGACAGGCAGTGGGCGGAGGCGGGAGGTAGGAGGTCCTGGAAGCAAACACTGCAGTGCTGGGAGTGGGTGTGGCAGATGAGCGGGTGGGGCAATCTGGATCTGCAGGAAGATGGGGCATTACTGACAGGGACGAAGAGCTTGGAAGGGTGGGATTGTCATATCCCGTAACAAGGCAGAGCTTGGTTTAATCGTGTCAAGAATGGTTGAGACCTAAAGCTAGCTGAGCCCTCCACAAATTTTGGGGTGTAGTTTGGTGCTAAGAGAGGTGCCTTATTTAGGGTTATTCCTTAGAGCATGGCAAAGCTGGAAGGAAATCCAGTTTCTCTGATTCCCTGTTCTTTTCTTTACCCCAGGCTGCCTCCAAAATCCAACCTTTACCTCCCGTTAAGCATTCCAAGCTGGAAGAAGGTATTAATTCTTGCCCAAGGAGAGTCTTCCTGGGAGGTTGCCCCACCAAGTCTTGGTGGGTGGCTTCTCTTATTGATGATCTTATCAGTTGTAGGGAATCTGTGCTGGGTGCTAGGAACATCCATAAAACGGGGGGGTGGGGGGGGTGGGGGGGTGAGAAACCATTGTATTAAGTCTTTCTTTCTCATTTCAGTTCTCCTCCACCCCAGTGCCTCCCACAGACACCTGGTCTCTGGTGCCAAAATACACATTCTTGTGCCTTCAAGCAAAACTAGTTCTTCTGCCAGTGAGAACTCTGTGTCTAAACTTTCTGTTACTTCTCTTTAAAAACCCTTTCTTGGATTTTCACCACACAAAAGTTGGAGCATTTCAGTCAGCATTTTGGTGAGATTGTGAATGCTGCTTCTTGAAGGAGATATTCATTCATTCAACAAATGCGTATCAAATGCTGAAACAGGACAGGCACTGCGGTAGACACTAGAGACACAGCAGTGAGAAAATGTGGTTTTGGTTCCTGCCATCTCGGACAACCATACCAAATAAATCACAAACAAATGTAAAATTGCAACAGTGACCTAAAGGAACAGATATCCAGCCAATACGCACTCACTCTGCTGTAGCAGGTGTTACATATTTAAATGTGCCCACACTAATTGTGGCAGGTCATTCCCTCAGGTAGTGCCATCCTTTCCTCCCCTCTGTACATACAAATGCAGTTCTGCCCCTCGAGAGGTGAGGTCTTTCCCCTCCCTTGAATCAGCGCTGGCCTTGGGACTTGCTTTGACCAAGAGAACGTACTGCAGGGACACTGAGACTTCTGAGCCACGGTCTTAAAAAGACTGGTGGCTTCGGCTTCTACCGTTTTAGAAGCCAGCGGCCATACGAAAAGCCCAACTAGCAGAGACCACCATGCTGTGAGGGAGCCGGCCTGGCCTTGGGAAGGGGCCACATGGAGAGAGCGGCGTCCAGCCAGGTCTCAGCTCTTCAGTGTCCCAGCCAAGGTGCCAGGCTTGTGACGGAAGAAGCCGTCTTAGGTGTTCCTACCCCTGTAGGCACCACATGGAGCAGAAAAACCACCCAGCTGAAACCAGGCCAGGTTGCAAAATTGCGAGGAAGAATACGTTGCTGTTTTAAGTTATTAAGTTTTGGGGAGGGGTGTTACACAACAGTAGACCCGCTGCCATGGACTCCCTGAGGGCCCCCTGCCCTGTGTCTGGACCCCTCAAGCCCTGTCTCCAGGACCCCTAGTACTGTGTCCCCACACCTGTGTTTATGCTAAATGGTCCAGCAGGAAGCCCCCAGGATCTTGTCCCGGCGTCCATCCTGACAGGGCCTGTGTTTGGACTGGTCAGTGCCTGCAAGCACCAGTAAAGGTTCCGACTACGAACTCGGTTACAGGGAGCTATACGATCTTGCAGTGGGGGCGTTTGACCCCTTCCAAGAGGCCAGGAAAGGAGTTCCTGAGTAAGTGGCACTGGAGCTGAGATCTGACCAATGTGAAGGTGTTAATTTGGTGATGAGGAAGGCAAGGAAGGCATGACCCCAGAGAGCTCTGTGGTGGGACGGAAGACGGTGGAAAGCAGGCGGGGGTGGCTGGAATTCACGAAGCGGGAGAGATGCAAGGGGTCTGGAGCTTGGAATGCCCCTGACACAGTGCCCCAGGGCACGGTGGGTGGGTTCAGAGAGCACCCTTCTCTGGGCTGGCCAGTGACCGAGGGGAGCCTGATTGTAAAGACTGCTGTGTGCTGGGAGGCGACTGGCCCACCCAGTCAGATCTGCTCTTTCGGAGAGTTCCAATCGAGACGCACCGAGACAATCCGTCAGTCAGGAGCAGAATTGTGGCCGAGCCACTGTTATGGCAGGCTGGGGCTGGGGAGGGGACACCTTTCCCCGGTGGAGGACTGACCTCCAGTGCCACTGCCTCACACAGGCAGCAGCTGGTGGCCTGCAGGCCAGTTGGTCAGTTGGCCAGCACCCTTTTTTTTGTTTTTATCCATCCACACAGGGTTGTCAAAATAAAGTTTTATTATTAAATTAGTTGCCAACATTTTAATTGCAAAAGTTTTCAAATACAAAGGCCCCCAACATTTGGGAAGTTTTTGAATATTTCTGCCACATCCCTGATGGCAGCACTGGGTGAAGGTGAGTAGCAGCTACTTGCTGCAGATGGAGTAGGTGCAGTGCACGTCAGTTTATAACAGTCTCCACTGCTCCCTGCGGTGTCCCCGACACTTGAGAACAGTGTCAGTTGTCACATATCTTCCTAGCCAGGCCCTGCTGCGCACATGCACACTGGACAGTGTGATCTCTTTTGCTGGGACACTGAAGATGTCATTGTAAACCAGAGACGCTCCACGTCCTCCTGGTGGTCTCTGCAGTGGGCTCACCAGATTTTGCAAACACAAAAAAACAAGACAAAATCACCACCACCAAACAACAAACTAAAACAGGACACCCAGTTAAATTTGTATTTCAGACAAACAACAATTGATTTTTCAGTGTAAGTGCATCCCCAGTATTGTAATTTTCTCTGGCGAGCCTCGCTGCAAGGCACAGAGCATTGCCACTGAGATTCACTTTCCTGCGCACAGAACAGGGGACGTTACCCACACAGAGGTGCCCCTCTGTGCAGGGTCGTCCAGGTCGCCCTCACTGAGGCTCTGCTTCTTGCAGCTGAAACTCCAGGAAGCCCAGGGGTCCAGGAGAAGCCCATCCGAGTGGACTGGCTCGGAGGAATGGTGAGAGTTACGGTGGCAAGGTAGTTTGGTGACAGACTGTGGAGGGTCCTGATGCCAGGCTCAAGACAGAAGGTGACCCCGTGGCAGCAGTGTTTAAAAAGATGTTGCTGACATTGTTTTGAGAAACCAGAAGACATTCTTGGGGGTGGGATACACCCCAGAAGGCTGTGGAGATGCTCAGGTTAGAAGTAACAAGGGTCTCCTTTGGCAGGTGGCCCTGGGATGGAGAGGAAGTGATAAAGGTGGCCCGTTTTGCAGGAAGAATCAAGAGGCTTTGGTGACAGCTTGGATAGGGGTGGGTGGGGAGCAGAGGGAATCGAATGTGCTGGCAATGCTCCCGTGGGTTGGAACAGCAGAGGCACTGCCCTGGGTCGTATTTCCAAGGAACTGGGGAGAGGGGGCTGCCCTGAAGGGAACACGAACAATTCTGTCTCACTTGTGTTGACTTTGAGGCACAGCCAAACAGAAAAGTCCAGTAAGTGGTTGAAAATTTTGTTAAATTAAAAAAGTAACTAGTATTTACTCTGTGCTTACTATGTGCTTTCTGTTCCAAGAACTTTACATATATTAATTTGTTAAATCCTTACAAAAATCTTCTGAGACAGATGCCATTATTATTCCCACTTTACAGATGAGGAAACTGAGTAACAGAGAAGTTTGGTAACTGGTCTAAAGTCACACAGCTAGTGATGTTCCCCCACTCCACCGTCCCCTTCACTTTCTGCATTTCCTCACAATTTAAACCCAGGATTCGTCCCTCAGCTCCCCTTTTAGTTATGAAATCAATCTAGAGCCGAGAAGAAAAAGTTTTATCAGTATCCTATTAATTAAAATTTTGTAATAGGAAATCTACAATTAAAACACAACATCCAAAATTAAATTAGATTTATATATAAAAAGAATCAATGTGGCCATGTGGAACATTTATTTTGTGGGTTCTAATTAGGATGCTTTAATTTTATATCGCCGTCTTAGTATTTGGTGTTTAGTAAAGCCATAGGTGGAAATCAGGAGTGAGACGAATCAATATTAGGCTTTTGAGAACATTTTTAACACAACTAAAATATTAGCAATAATATATTAATTAACTTATTAATACTAGCCTTAATTTAATGTATTATATATTTAATTATAATTAAATTCTATTTTAATATAAAATGTGAATCCATGGCAATTTTCCTATACACGTGGCTGAAAGTAAGCTGCTTGAAAGTAACTCAGTTTACTTCATCTTTAAGAACTATTTTTTTTTATGTGTATAATACAACGTATTTTCATAAATCAATTTAACTTGTCATGCATTATTGCTGGGCTCAAAATTGTTATTTTGCCTTCTTGGAGAGAATTGTTGGGTCTGTGTTCTTAGATTAATAGCTGTCATTGCTCCCTTGTTTTGGAAACATTTCGAAAGAGGATGTTGCATTCCTAAAGTCAGGGTGTGGTTCTTATTTCAGCTTTCACGCACTCCGGTTCTACTGGAGGAGGGGAATCGCGTCCATGCAGATGTGAGGGGTTCATTACCAGGGTAGGCGATTTAGGACGCAGGACACCGGACAACGGCTGCCTCTTCCCGCTGAACCATCAGCTGCGTTTCCAACTCCACTAACAGGGTCGGAATCTGAGGAATAAAAACACCTTTACTCCTGAGCATGTTTTGGCCTATTGCTGACTCTGCCACTGGTCATTTAGGGTGTAAGAGTGGCTTAAGTACATGTGCAGCCTGGCTCTTTTGAACGCTGTATCCTTCTCCAGGTAACAGGGCCGTAGAAAAACTTGGAAAAAGTGAGAGCCTGAAGACCTAAATTCAGGAACAACCATTGAGGTGTGGGGTGTCCCTAGCCCTCCCCAGTAGCTCATGCTAACACTCCTGGCCCCGGCACTCCTGGCAGGGCTGGGGTGCTCTGGGGTGGATTGAAAGCGAAGGTTCTCAGTGCCCTCCAAGATGCCAGTGGGCGCAGCGTGCTGGGCTGGGGAACCACTACAGGGCAACTGACTCGTATATTTCATGGACAAATTGGCAAAATCTTTGAGAACCTGTGAACACCAGATAAATAGGCTTAAAATAGATGAAATAAGGTCAATTCATATAAATTGGCCCAGGCTGAGAGCTGTGAGGATGAGAATGTCATGGAGAAATCCCTTGGTGACAGGTTTGCTAAACAGCGGTGTGTGTGTGTGTGTGTGTGTGTGTGTGTGTGTGTGTGTGTGTGAGAAACAGCCCTCACCCCAAATTACTTTGTGACTTTCAGTATTTTTATCAGAATCCCTTTCTATTTCTGTTCTAGTGGTATTCAGTCTCAGCCCCCGCACATCACCCCTGTCCTCTTATTTCTGAAAGTCAATAGTGAATTCAAATTAATTCTTACACTTTTCTTAAACACATATTTTTTTAAGGTAGAGGAAAAAAGGGAAACCCTTTGGAGATTTATTTGAACACTTGATCAAAACAAATCTTATAATTGAAAATATTAATAGACCATATTTTTAAAAAAGTAACAAGTTGGCTCATTTCACAAAAGTTCTGTTGGCCATTTGGCATAAAGTTAAAACACCTTCTGAATAAGTCATCTAAATGTATTTTTTCTTGCAAGTAGGTTTAAGCAAAAACAGATTGCTGTTTCCCTGCTTCCTTGACATCGCTATGTGATGTTGCTTGTCTGAAGGCCAGACACAAAATGAGGTGTGTGTGCATGAACATATGGAACCAGTTTTCCTCTCAATGACAAACTCATGAGTGGATCCCATGCTTCCATCCTGGTTATGCAGCTCTAAGCACACATACAATGAGGCAAGTCTAAAGCTGTGCTGTTTGGCTTAGAGTGGAAATTCTCCCACAGACTCTTCCAACTTCTTTTCTGGTGATAGCTTAAGAATTAAGATGAAAACAGGAAGCAGTGCTCTTCAGAAATAAAAGTTCTAAGTCAAGCTTCTAATTTGAGAAAACTTCTGCAAACCTGATTACTTGACTTAAATTCAATGGTTCACACCCAGGGGGTTCTGCTGACTGTGTTGTACTTTTACCAGCCATAAATGCAACAAAGATCAGGATTTTATTTCAAACAAAAATTATTTGCTTTTATTTTTCCTATCTGGGGTAAGGGGAGGATGGGAGGCAGAATAAATCTATTTGTAAGTTCTTTAAATGAAATCCATTAAGCAATGGATGATTTATTTTATATTCAGATTCTAGATTATTTTTTAAAAATCTAGGCCATTTATGTTTATTATGTTTAGGGATAGGATAAGAAAGTAGTGTGAGTAGAATATTGCACTCTTCCTTATTTAATAGTTTTAGATGCAAATTTGGTTAAATGACAAAGGATACACATAAGGGAAAAAAACTTAAAAGTGCTAGTGAAAAGAAGAAAGAGTTCTACATATTCTCAGTATTAATAAAAGCTTTGTAACTAGCTTTATAAATATAAGCTGTGATTACTAAAACTTAAATAGTAAATATATTTTTAAGTTTGGTAGCTCATGTAGAACCAGAATAATTACTGCCCAGTTATACTAGGATGTATCTGTTATATTACATTCTTTAACGGGGGTGTGCTAGGGGCTTTTTGCAGCCCTTCTCAGTAAATGCATTATGATTAGATAAATGATCATTTCAAGGGTCAGCTTTAAGTGACA